TTAGTGTGTGTTTTCCTGGCAGTCAGTGCTGCCAAGCTCTGACTCCTGCTTGGTTACCTGTCTGCTTGTTTGTGTGCATGTTTGTGTGTGTGCTAAAGTGTCTGTTCAAACAGTTTGTTCATTATTTTGTTAGATTACTAGTCTGTTATTTTAATTTTTTACCTTTTCATGTATTTTAATACTAGCTTTTTGTTAAGGATGTTTTATAAAAATTCATAACCTGTGGTATACCTACTCACTTATTAGTATTTTTTGAGGCATAGAAAAGTTGTAATTTTGATGGAGACCAACTTATTTATTTAGTTTTTATTTACTTGGCCTTTAATGATTTCTACATTCTAGTAAAGAAAAAATTTTGCCTATCTCATGGTTGAAAAAGTAAGCTTTCGGGGAGGACTATAGGCCTTGAATTATTATTATCATTTAAAATAAAATTTAATTTTATATGCAAAAAGTAAGCTTTCTTATTTTGAAAATATATCAATATATTTATTATTTATATACTTATATAAATATATTTAAATAAATATGTATTTTATATTTAGACCAATGATCCATTTTAATTTCACTTCATGTACATAATAATGAAGATACCATTTTTTCCATGTGACTATGCAGCTCTTCCACATCATTTTTAAAAATTTTAACGACAGTGTGTGTGTAAAATCATTTGACAAAAGTGAATAACTATTTCTGAGCTCTGTGTGGCTTCATTGATCTGTTTACTCATTCATTGACCAATTATTATTATCTGTTTTGAATATTATAAAGTTGACACTTCTTTGAAAATGAGTTGTGCATATTTATCTTGATTTGAAAGATATGCAGTGTGGAATGTTTGAGATGAGAAAATGCATTTCCCCATGTGGTTGTTGTCTGTCTCTGCTCTCAGGAGTTTCCAGGACACGGTCTGTTGTTGTAGTCCGGTGGAGCCTGTGGGCTGTCTTTCCTCCCGGCTGAAGCCCTGCCTCTGCGTGTGCACTTGTTTCCCTAGTGTTGGAACTCAGTTCTTGAGGTTACACCATGTGCTGTTAGAGTCCTTTTCACAAAATCTTTGCCTATGCTCACACCTTGAAGTGTTTTCTCTGTGTCTCTTAGCAGTGTTGGAGTTCCAGGTTTTAGACTGAAGTCTTGAATACATTTTGAATTGATTTTTGTGTGGGCTAAGAGACTTGAATCTAGCTTCATTCCTCTGCATGTTGATGTACAGTTTCCCAGAACCATTTTCTCAAGAGTCTGTCTTTTTTTTTTCCAGTTTATGTTTTTGACAACTTTATCAAAGAGTAAATGGCTGGAGCTGTCTTTACTCCTGGCTCCTCTGGTCTATTCCGTTAGTCTACCTGTCTGTTCTTACACCAGTACCACACTGTTTTTGTCATAGTGGTTATGGAATATAATTTGAAGCCAAGCATGTAATACCTCCAGTACCAGTACTTTTTTTTCTGCTTATAATTGTTTTGTCCTTTCATGGTCCTTCAGTCTCCAAATGGATTCTTGGATTTTTTTTCTAGTCCAGTGAAGAAAGCCATTGGAATTTTGATGGAGATTGAGTTGAATCTGTACACTATTTTTCATTAAGATAGCTTTCCCCACAGTGTTAGTTCTGCTAATCTATGAGCATGAAGCATTTTTCCATCTTCCAGTTTCTTCGTCAGCTTCTTCCTCCGGTGTCTTAAGGAGTTCATGGTTGGATCCAGCCAGCGTCAGCAGTGGTATGCAGCCGGGGACAACTGCTAGCTTTTTGTGGAGACCCTAGTTGACCCCTTTTCAGTTTTCTATATCTCTTTCTTTTATTTTTATATTGGTGTTTTGTCTTTTCTTTCTTTTTTAAATCTTTCCTCTCACAGATAATGGCTTCTCATCTGCTGTCTAAACCGGAACCACCTCTGACTGCTTTAGAATGGGTTTGCAAGTTTCTTTAAAAGATCAGAGTACAGATTTGATTTTTAAACTGTATTGTAATATTAATCATACCTTTGCAATATTTTAAATCCATCTTTAGTTTCACTTATTCAGCAAAATTTATGGATCATTTATTATTTTTCTGAAGACCATAGTACTCTCCTGACAAAATATTTGATACAACAAAGGCTCCGTATTCTGCAGTGAGGGAGAGAGTAGGTAGAGGAATCTGCAGGTCATTATAGCAGCGTATTTTAAATCAAAATGAGTCTACCTCCTTACCATTTCCCCCAGCTTATATATGTTCTGAAAGAGTGTCTCTCCAATATTGAGAATTCCCTTTCATCAGGATTTACAGATGCAATTCTAGAAACTGGTTTACAGCCAAGCTGGTTCTGGACTAGCCAAACCTCCTGAAGTCTGGAGTCACCTGACTCAGAACTCACACCTTACTCTACTCTTCCGTGGCTCAAAGAAAGTGTCTTTAAAAAAAATTGTATATGTGTGTGCACATGCCATGTCACATGTGTGGAGGTCAGAGAACAGCTTGTGAGAGTGGATTCTTTCCTTCTACCTGGTAGAATCCAGGAATTGAGGTCAGATCATCAGGCTTGGCAAGGCCTTCACCTGCTGATCCTTCCCACTGACTCTATAATTTCCATTTATGATTTTTTATTGATATCTGTTCTTAAGATAGATGAAACCATTGCTGCAGGCTTTGCAGATACTCACCTCTAATTGCACTGATGCAATATGAAAATGTCAATGTGTCTTATGGTGTTGTGAATTGGACCTATTACCTCAATAATGCTAGGCAAGAACTTTGTCACTTATTTATACCCACAAACCTCTTTTCAGCATTGATTGGATAGAGTCCTTAGAAGGATTGACATGCCAAGTGTGGTCTTTACATACAACGGGAGCTGATAACTTATTCAGACTGATGTGGTCAAGAGCACAAAGCCAAAAGTGAAGTGTTGATTTCTAGGACAGTGTCTACTGATAACAGTTGAGGAAACTTACAAGAAGCACAATTCTGTGTGTTTGTTTAGGGGGAAAAAGAGGCCAGCACAGAAAATACTGAGTAAAAGTTGGGTCTTAGAAGATGTTCATAGGTTTGGAAGCAGGAACATTTTGCTCTGCAGAGACTACCCAAAACATACCCTGTCTAAGTTAGAAGAGCAGGCAGGACCCTAGATGGAGGAGTTAACCCAGGATCGTCACAGCAGACTAGACATTGACTAGAAGACTAGTTATGGAAAATCAAATTAGAAGTGTGTTATGGAATATTATTTTAAGATGTGTTACATTTGTTCATGCTGTAGAACATTTGTTTTAATGATGCAAAGATGTGTTGCATTCATTTGTGTTGCATTTGTTTAACTCTGTGAAGCTGTGTTACTTTGCCTGCCTAAAATACCTGATTGGTCTAATAAACAGCTGAACAGCCAATAGCAAGGCAGGAAAAAGGATAGGTAGGGCTGGCAGGCAGAGAATAAGTAAAAAAAGAGGCAAGAAGGGACCAGCTACCCAGCCAGCCACAAAGTAAGAATGAAAGTAAGATTACAGAAGTAAGAAAATAAAAAAGTCCAGAGGCAAATTGTAGACTGGACATTTTAAGTTAAGAAAAGCTGACAAGAAATAAGCCAAGCTAAGGCCAGGCATTAATAAGAAAGAATAAGCCTCTGTGTGTGTTTTATTTGGGAACTGGGTGGTGGGCCCCCCAAAAGAGCCAAAAGAGCAAAGAGTAAAAGAGTAAATAACAACAGAAGTGTGTTTCTCCAACTGCATATTAACTTCCAGAAAATGAAAGTTGGTGAACCTGAGGTAAAGAATGCTGAAAAGATCCCTTGGGAAATGATAACAGACAGCAACTGGGCAGGCAGATGCAGCAGAGAGATGTCTTGTTTAGATGACATATGCACATGAATGCTGTCATGGATTTATTGACTCATGTATCATGAGATCTTGAGTTTTCTCCATCTACAAATTTTGCCACCAATGGATTCTGAACAACATGCTTCTTGAGCCCATTAGTGCTGCTTGAGTTGTAGGGAAATCTGTAAAAAATAAATGAGCAAACACATACCAGCCTTGCAAAAAGACTTGCTTCACATTGAGCAGTTTAGTAAAGAAGTGAGGATGGACTTAGGAGAACAGAGTCTGCCGGATCACAGCATCACAGCGTGTGTCCTTCTCTCCTGCCTGGAGCCGTCCTCCTTTGTAGCTTCTCCTTTTGTGCCCCTGGCCTGTACCTTAGCTCTGCTAGTGATCTTCAGCCATGCAGCCTAAGCAACTCTCCACACTTGCTGTGAATGGTCCCACCTGGTGAATGCCTTTGGTATTGTGAATTACGTGGGTAGTTTCTTGTTCAGTGTCATCTGCTTTGATAGCCCCAAGCTGCCAGCCTTTTGTGTCATTAAATGTTTTTATTTTTAGTGAACCTGAGAAACATGTTACATGTGGTTTATTATGTGGTGTAGCAGAATATTGAGACCTGGGCCAGATGAATGACTTAGGTGTGGTCTCAATGTAGACATACTTTCATTCTCTCAGGACTTTCTGGAGGAGTGTGTGTCCAGTTCTACAAGAGGGAAGCCAGAGTTGCTGGAGCCTTGAGTGACTGAGTCCTCATCACTGCTGTCCCTCATCTTGTAGGGGGTGTCGTTGCTCATTCCTCATGGCCTGGCTTTGTCTTATACTCATGTTCCTCCGAGAAATTCTTTCCTAGCTGATGTGGGGATGAGTAGCTGCCATTGCAAATATTTGGGAAGAGACTCAAAGGGGAGAAATTTCTGGTAAATTTTCATCTGGGCTCTGTTCCTTACATACAGTTAGGCCACCAGCTCTCTCAGGCCCTTGGTGTGGGCACTGCTGTCTCTGGTCTTTTGACAGATAGTTGATTTTGTTTGACTTCTTGGTGTTTATGGATTAAATGGGCCCAGCAGTGGGTGCATAGGTGGAATTACTGCTGTCACTTCTGCATGAAGTATTTGCAGTGGTATCTTAGACATTTACATGTGCATTGTGACGTGTTGGGTCCTGCAAAGAAAAGAGAGGATGGGGTGGGTGCTGAAGACTCAGAATTCTCCTTCCAGGAAACCTTTGAGAAGGCAAGCCTGAGCAGCAGCAGCAGTGGGGCAGCCAGCCTGAAAAGTGAGCTTTCAGAGAGCGCGGAGCTGCCTGGGGAGGGCTTCCATGGTGCCCTGCAGTGTGGGAAGGAGGAGGACAGGACCTGTGAGGAGGTGCTGTCCGAGGAGGACAACTTCCACCTGGAGAGTGTGGAGAAAGGTGAGTCGGCTGAGTGGTGAGGGCAGGCATGCACTGGGGAACTTCTGTTCTAGGCTCACCCCCTTCTTTTCTCTGCAGATGTGTATTCTGAGCTGGATGATGAGCTGGACATCTTGGACAACTGTAGCAGCTCCAGTTCAAGCCCTCTAAAGGAGTCTACATTTAGTAAGCTCACTGTACAAGTTTGTCATTGTGGGACTGCAGTGGTGTGGTCCTGAGAGCGAGAGGGTAGATGGAGCGTGGGACTGCTGTCTCAGGTTCAGTACTCCCGTGGACAGCCAGAGGCCAGACACCAGGCAAAGGGGTGCTTTTTCATTTTTATGAGCAAATGCAGGTTGTGACCAGGGAGCTGAAATGACGAGGTTGCAAACAGCCCAGTCCCCTTAGGAATGATGGACATGGCATTTTACCAGTCTGTGGGTTAGAGGAACTAGGAACTCATGGGAGAAATCAGCCAAGGTGTACCATAACTTTTGTGCAATTGTATTCTCACTCATTGGCCTTGTTTCATCTCCATCACTGATAAAACACCAACAAAGGCCGCTTAGGGGGAGGAACGGCCTTTTTAGCTCACAGTTCCAGGATGGCATCCATCACAGCAGGGAGCAAGGGGGCAGGAACTTAAAATAGTCACAGATGAGAGCAGAGTGAAGTGAATGCATACATGCTTGTGTTTGGCCCACTTTCTATACTCAACAGACCAGGACCAAATCCAGGGAATGGCACCACCCACAACAGGCAGGGCTTCCCATCCCATTAACTAATCCAACTGAGAAAATCCCTCACAGGCATGCCCACAGGCCAACCCGATCTAAGGCAGTCCTCTCTGAGACTCCTTTCCCAGCTGACTCTAGAATGCATCAAGTTAATGAATGAAACCAAATATTGCAATTATATATTTATTGCATCTAAGTAAAATAAATATTTTAAATGTTTAGGACTATGAAAAATATGATGTGTAAAACCAGCCCAATATTAGTCTTAAATTGAAATAAGAACAAAAAAATAAAAAAAAATGAGGAATAGGAAAGAAAAGAAAATAATATATTTAGATAGAATTTAAAGACTGTAAGGGAAAATGGGATCAAATCAACTTGGCAGGCATGAAACTGAAAGAAATGTTAAAATAGAAATGGAGAAAAAAATAAATCTCACTGAAGAGTGTGTTAACTGGATTTAAATTTTCTAACTAGAGAGACTTTAAATAAATGTGAAGTATAAATAATTCTGTCTGCTCAGTGATTATGCTATGAGAACCCCAGGAGAGAAGACAGAAAATAGCCTTGCTAAAGATCCACGTGGAGTTCCAAAGATTTAGCCATATTCCTTGTCTTTTCTATACTTAATGACTCCATCAAAACAGTGACTAGATCTTCCAGATTTTTAGGAACAATCACCATGACCAATTCTTTGTTCTATATTTCCTAAGAGTTCCTGCCTGGGAGACAAAGTGCCTTGATTTGTAGTTGGAGGATGATGGATACCATGCAGGAGAAATGAATGCTTCATGCATGTAAATGTGTAGCAAATCCTAGAAGAGCCTCTTTGGTTGGTGATGAGCATTTGGTGTATATCCCTAGTCACAGCACTGGAGATGGGTGGCGGGGAGGCAGGAGGAGAGACAGGACCTCCATGTGGAGATGTCCGCACGAATGCTTGAAGATTAAAATGACACAGACATGCTGTTGTGCTTAATAACAGTATTCTGTTTATCATCTTTCCTTTGGAAGAAAAAAACATTATACAAACCAAGTGCATGTTAATTTTTAACATTATATTTGAGCAAATACTTTCAAGAAAAATAGTGGTTAGAGTGAAGGGCGGCTACCACGACAGTAGAGCCTGAGCAGTTGAAAAGAGGGTTGCTGGAGGCCAGGACACAGCTTGTGGCTGAGCACTGCCCGGGAACACACTCCCAGCGGGGACTCTCCCAGCACTGGACACAAACCAAGGCAACGTACAACAGCAGTGAAAGCCACAGTTTCTGGAGTGATAATTTACAGTTACTTCTATTTTCTCATTTTAGGTATTTTAAAGAGAAGTTTCAGTGCTTCGGGAAGAGAAAGGCATTCACAGGCCAGGTATGTCTGGAAGTGCGTTTAGTCTAGGCAGAGCTGAGCCACTTGGCGCTAAGTTGCCCCATAACTGGCAGAAGTCACTGTGGACATATGGACATAGAAACTGTCAGCTTTCCCAGAGCCAGAGCCGAGGACTGCTTAGTGGTTTAGCATGCTGGAGAGTGCTAGGCCTCGGCTGGCCCCTAGTGGGTCTGCCTTCTTCTAGTTCTGTGACAGCCAAACAATCTCTGAGCATAATCTGAGCCAAGGCAGAGGAATAGCCTTGCGCAGTGAGCTCACCTGAGGCCCTGGGTCCTTAGAACATGGATGTGTGACTCAGTTCCATGGCAAAGGTGGGCAAGGTGAGGAAAGGGGACTTGGGGACACACCCTCCCTCCTAAGGATCCAGCCTGAATGTTGTGTTTGTGACTCCTGCTCAGACATATTTGGCATAACTCCTTTATACAACCACTGCCATCTTAAAAAGATGATGACACACGAACGCGCACACTCGCACCCCCCCCCACACACACACATTTTTTTTTTTAAGAGAAAGGAGAACTTATTAGGGGACAATAACTTTTGGGGGTAAGAACTAAAACTAAACTATTAGATTTGGCCTTTGCAAATCCCATGATCTTTAGGAGAATGGTTTGGGAGGCATTGGGGAAGCATGGCTGGGACCTCAAAGGTTGGCTGCAGTAATCTTAGAGCTCTAGAAGCAGAAACAGCTGCAGAATGTGAGGAGTGGCTTGGACAGTTAGCGTCAGGGAAAGAGCCTCCTGGAATCAACATAATGTCAGGGATGCCCGTGGAGAGGCAGTCTACAGGGAACACACAATCAGGGATTGTAGTTAGAGTTTTCCTGCCTGGCCCACAGTCAGGACAAATCTCTCTCACCTGCCAGTCCCACAGGCGCTCAGACCCAACCAAGTAAACACAGAGACTTACATTGTTTACAAACTGTATGGCCGTGGCAGGCTTCTTGCTAACTGTTCTTATATCTTAAATTAATCCATTTATATAAATCTATACCTTGCCACGTGGCTCGTGGCTTACCGGCATCTTCAGGTGCTGCTTGTCATGGCTGGCAGTGTCTCCCTCTGCCTTCCTGTACTCTCAATTCTCCTCTCTGTTAGTCCCGCCTATACTTCCTGCCTGGCTACTGGCCAATCAGTGTTTTATTTATTGACCAATCAGAGCAACACATTTGCCATACAGACCATCCCACAGCAAGGGATGATTAATTTGAAAGAAATGGCACCAAAGAAATGTGGGGGGAGGGGCACAGCACTAGCTTTCTGTCTGCAGAGACAGAACCATACAATTAAGATCCTCAAATAGAGAGGAGGGGCCTACTTATGGGAAGATGTTCTTGGCCACTGCACAGAGGATGGCCTAGATTCAGAGTACTCTCATCCAGGAGCACTCAGTACAGGGCTGGGGAAGATGAGCAGATGGCAGAGGGACACTCAGAGGCTGAGCACCCTTAATGCGGACGCATACCCAAGTGCCGACACCAGCACACTCTGACATACAGCTGGATGCCCCAGTTAAGAAGGCTTTACGTAAAAATGGAATTTTCTACCAGATAAATTCGGACATCTTGAAAGCGCCAAATAATTGTAGCCTTGATTTCTAGAAGAATCCATGGGAACCTTCCTCATTTGTAATAGTCCTATTTGCGTCCAACCCTTTGGAGATAACAAAAAACATATGTTACATATTTCAAATCTTGAGGGGATTTTTTAAAATCTAGAAATTAGTTAAAATTTTTGTAACAAATTATATTAAATAGAGTTAGTAGATAGAAGTGCTGTGGGTTGTCTTTCTGTACTCTAAATATGTGTTGCTCCCATTGGTTAATAAGTAAAACTGCTTTGGCCTATGACAAGGCAGAATAGAGCCAGGTGGGAAATCCAAACAGTGATACAGGGAGAAGAGGGTGGAGTCGGGGGAGTGGGCAGAGTCAGGGAGATGCCAGCAGAATGTGAAAGTACCGGTAAGCCACCAGCCACATGGTGGTACATAGATGAATAGAAATGGGTTAATTTAAGTGTAAGAGCTAGTTAGTAATAAGCCTGAACTACTGGCAGAGCATTTATAAGTAATATTAAGCCTTGGAGTCAATTATTTAAGAAATGGCTGCCAGATATTTGGGAACAGGCAGGTGGGAGAGAAACTTCTGCCTACATAAACGTTCAACCAGAAGCAGAGACACTATGGAGTAGTGTCTACCGGGTACTTACGAATCTGTGAATATGGCAGGTGGCCAGGACACTGAGGCTGGTGCTTCCCAAACTGTGTTCCAATGTGGCTGAAGACTGACCTAAAAGCCCATTCCTGTAGCTGTGTCTCGTGTGTGGGACATGCTGTGTGATGAGCCCCCGCGAAGCACAGTGGGTTTAAGACAGGCTGTTTTCACTGCAGGCGTTCACAGTATAGAGTAAGGAATATGGCACAGGGTAGACGGGGGCAATGAGAGAAGACAGTCTGCACATCATACAAAGCAGGAGGAAAGAAAACTAAACATTTTTACTTCTTTCCAGGTGACTCTAATGGAGTCTCTGAATTAAAATGAGACAGTTTTAAAGTATAATTTCTAGTTATCTTAAAGTCATTATATAAAGCTAAAGTTCTTTTTTTATTTAATTTGTTTAGGATTTTCCTAGGCTTCTTGGTGTATTAATGTGAAATATAAATTAATAAAATATGTAGAAACAAAATGATGCATTAAAACCTAAAAGAGGATCAAGATACTACATACTACATACTACATACTACATACTACATACTAGAGTAAAAATCAAGGGGAAAGTCATCCCCATAGTGGTTTTTGACTTTTCTGTATCCAGCATGAACAAGTGTGGTGGTGACAAGGAGACCCTGAGCACTCGTCAGAAAGCCACCTGGTCTGGGGTGAGCCGCTGCCACAGCGATGCACAGGCCTGCCCTAAGCACAGCTTCTGGAATTTAGAATCCAGGCGTGATGGTGGCTAAATGTAACAGAGAGAAAGCACAGGCAAGACATTCTCAAACGTGATCACCCCAGACAGAAGCAGGAAGATCCATGGAAACAGTGAATTCAAGACCAATCTGAGTTTCTAAGTTAGGGTTTCTGCTCCTGTGATGAAACACTGTGACCAAAAAGCAAGTTGGGGAGGAAAGGGTTTGTTTGGCTTACACTTCCACATTGCTATTCATCACTGAAGAAAGTCAGACAGGAACTCAAACAGGGCAGGGTCCTGGAGGCAAGGAGCTGAGGCAGAGGCCATGGAGGGGTGCTGGTTTCTGGCTTGCTTCCCATGGCTTGCTCAGCCCACCTTATAGAACCCAGGACCACCAGTCCAGAGGTGTTACCACCCACCATGTGCTGGGCCCTCCCCTATTGATCACTAATTGAGAAAATACCTTATACCTATATCTCAAGGAGGTATTTCTTCAGTTGAGGCTCCTTGCTCTCTGAAGACTCTAATGTGTGTCCAGTTGACACACAAAACTAGCCAGTACACTGGACAATGTTGCAAGAACCCCAGCTCAAAAAAGTAAGAACATCCATCTGGTCATTTATTTTGGTATGCCAGGCTTAGACTAAATAGTATGTGGGTGTTTCTTTACTTCCCTGGTACAGTGTGTTGCATACAGATGCTGATCCACAGATATGTGTTGGGTGCTTGTTCATTAGTAAATTAATGAGTTATCTCACTACAATTCCGAGTTTCTTACTGTAAAGGACTGAAATCTTGCTCACTTCCTTGAATTAATTTATAGTGTTAGCTGTAGATTAAAGCCCGCTTTTTTTTTTATTCTGTTGCTTAGGCAACAAGATTTCTCCATGCCTACTTGCCTTCTGTTGCCAAGGCAACAGGGTGTAGTTGGCTGGCTGCTCCGAAACATCGGATGTTTGCAGTGTCAGAGATTCCTGCAGTGAATACCTTCTTTGTGAGGATGGTTTTACTTGAGGGTGTGCTCCTGACTCTAATCTTTGTAGAGAGAGATGGCTGCAGAGGTGTCTGACCATCCAGCATCATAGATGTGACCAGAAGGACCCTCGCATTGTCTTAGGACCCACAGTCCCTCCCTCCTAACAGCCGTCTCATTATTTACGTGCAGCCATCCTGCCTCCACTTCTCATTCATAATCTGGGTCTCATTTTGCTTTTATTGAATATGGATGCTTGACCACTGCTTACCAGAATCAACCTGGCCTCTCTGCCAGGGTCACAAGCCAGCAATCTTCCTAGCAGCACCGCCATGACAAACAGTACTATGCCACCAGGAAGTACGATCCCTTTTCTATGGCAGTTCTAAGATTGCCCGGCTGTTGCTCATTTGCTTCCAGCCATCAATACAGTCTGAAGAGAAAGCTAGGAGCCTGGCACCACCCCCTCACCGAGATACCAACTCTGTTAACACAATCTGAAGGGAAAGCCAGGAGCCTGGCACCACCTCCTCACCAAGGTATCAACTCTGTCAACATTGCCGTGGATGAAGACCTTGACTAAACATGAGAGCCCAACCTCCCTCAGTTCACCTCTCCTGCCTGTCATGGTCATGAATGTTGAAGGATTCTAGTTACCTTGTATGTCATGGCTGCAGTGATCTCAAATGACATGTATTATAAGCCAAGCTTCTCATTTCATGTGATGTATTTAAAGGATTTCTTTGAGAGAAAATTCTAGAGTGTTATCTATTTCACGGCCAGGACTTTAATGACAAAATAATTATCCAAGTAATTCATGCTTTTCTGACAAAATAATTACCAAACCAATTCACACTGTGCTTTCATTAATTCAGAGTGAAATCTGTTTTAGAAACCACAGAGTTCAGCTGCATCTCCTGCCTTCCCACTGACTGCTGTGGAGGGAGGTCTAGGCTAGCACGCACCTCAGCATGTCAGTCTCCTCAGGCTTATGAGCTGTGGACTAGTTCATGCTGGATCTGAGGACAGCTAGAGGTCATGACCTTTAGAGTCCTTTCAGCTTCTGAAGTGCCGTCGCCAGCTTTAGAAGCCGTTTGTGTCCATTTAAAAACTTTAATTAGACAACGTCTTCAATATGCTGTCGTCTCACCAGAAAACATGTCTGAAATCTCTCCCTGTGTTAAATCATCCCTGTGGCCAGCTTGAGCTGTTGTGGGAATGCCATCATCTGGAATCACAACTCTCCATAGGTCATAAGTGTTCGGTGTGCCTCGGTGTAGAATTTCCTCAGGCTCTGCCTCATTCCTACCATCTGTCTGCCTGTGGGCCCAGCAATTGCCCAGGAAGAGCTGTAGCTTCTGTTCACAGTGGAGCTATGCCATTTTGAAGTTACAAATGCCTGACCCTCCTTGTGGCTAATGGCTCATCTTCAGAGAAAGTAATGAGTTTTCTACTGCACTGTGGAGAAAGCAACCTTAGAAGCTCTGAGACTATGTGGGGGGTTTCTTTTCACTACTCGTGCAGGGCCTCTATGGAAAGAATAAGTGTGTGTGTGTGTGTGTGTGTGTGTATGTGTGTGTGTGTGTGTGTGTGTGTGTGATGTTTTCTGTGAACATTCTCTAATGCTTGTTTTATTTTTAAGTACGTGTATGTATGTATATGTGCCCACAGAAAACAGCAGAGGGTGTTGAATCTCACTTGGAGCTTGGAGTTATAGGTGGGTGTTAAGTTTCCCTATATCAGTGCTGGAACCAAACTTGGGCAAGAGAAGTATGTGCACTTAACCACTGAGCCATCTTTCTAGCCTCTGCCTTAAAACTTACTAAAGAAGAATCTAGAATTGTACAGAGCAGCACATAAGTTGGAGCAGCTGAGCACATTTGGGGGATCCATGTCATTTATCCCATCACACATACTATTTAATAAGAATATTTGAAATAAGAGATTTTTCAGGACAATAAAAGTAATAATCCAGCTAACTCAGTTTGTGTGTTACCAGCCTTTCCAGAACATCTGTAAACACAAATGAAAGCTTTCCACAAGTTGTATTTTAATTCACTTCTAAGGCAATGAGGACCATGAGGTGTCAGGCCCAGCAGCTCTGTGCACTGAGTAATGCGTGGGTAAGGGATAGTGGCCAACGGCTTCTATAGAAAGTCAGGACAGTTTAATATGTAGATAGCTAGGCACATGTGTTGACTTGAGCAGTCAAAACTGTGCCTAGTGCCACTGAGGCACCGAATGTTTAGTTTGATAGTACTTTAAATGTAAAACAGTATAAAACATTCATTTTCAAAGGTTGATATTTTGAATCTGTTTGATGAAAATATAAGATTAATCTCACCTTTTTCTTTTTACTTTTTAAAAATGTGTCTACCTAGAAAGTTTTAAATTGCCGGGCGGTGGTGGCGCACGACTTTAATCCCAGCACTCGGGAGGCAGAGCCAGGCGGATCTCTGTGAGTTTGAGGCCAACCTGGGCTACCAAGTGAGTTCCAGGAAAGGCGCAAAACTACACAGAGAAACCCTGTCTCGAAAAACCAAAAAAAAAAAAAAAAAAAAAAAAAAAGTTAAATTATTTTTAATACAAAAATCACAGCCAATGAGGGTTTAGCTACGTAGCAAGTTTGAGACTAGCCTGAGCTTCCCACTCTTGCTCATCTCAAAGATTTGCTCATCACAAACCACCTTGGCAGGACAAGGTGCTTCTGTTTGCCAGCCCAAAGTCTATCTTGCATTCAAAATGCTGGTTTCTCTCTTTATTGAATGTAGCACAATGCCACTCTCAATAACTGTTTGTCACTAGGTGGAACTTTCCTAACGGCCCCTATCTGATTCTGTTTCCAGGGACTTCATTGGTGGCCTGGGATCAAGACCAAGACCAGGTAACTCAGAACTGATCCTAGTCATGCCTTCCTGCAAACTAGTATGAGCTAGTCAGCTCCCCCACTTTGCTATTCTCTTCTCAGCTTTGCTGCCTCTCAATTTGATTTGCTTTTGAAAGCCCACACCCACATGCCCAGGACACACTTAAGGAAGGAGAGGCGAGTTAGTGGCAGGGTGACAGTTAGAGCCTGCCCACTGGGATTCTCCACAGTCCCAAAGATCATGGCAGTACTCGGTAGATCATTTTGATGTTAAGCACATGATGAGTCTAAGATATCTTGAATGATACCCCAGGGGATATTGTGACACATAGCAGGAGAATTCTGTCTGACTTGCTTACCACTGCTGCTGTTCAGTGGCACAGAACTGATCAAACTATTATAAGCTGTTTTCCCAAAATTTGCATTTCTGCCTTCATGAAAATATTAACCACTTACTCTATAAAGTATATAGCTACTCCAAAAAATAGTGACTGTATTTTTATGTAGATATTTATGAAAACTCAACCTCTCCAATACCAGAAAGTGCATCTTTTTTTTTCATTTCTTTTACTCTGACTGACACAGTTATTTTTCTAGACACAGTTATTTTTGCTTGATTGAAAAGAAGTGATCACATCATTTCTCTGAGTTTAAAATTACCCTTAGATTTTATTTTATCTCTGTTCCTGTGTATCTGTGCTGCAGCACACCTGCTGTGGCACACCTATAGAGGTCAGGGGACCACTTGGTGGCTTCAGTTCTCTTCTTCCACAGTGGTTCATAGGGATTGAACTCTTGGCTTCAACAGCAAGTGACCTTACCCACTGAACCCTCTCACCAGCCTGAAACTATGTGTCTTTAGATGTAAATGTTTATAAAGATTCTGTGGGACAAGAAGAGTAGGTTACTTAGTTTTCTATTTCTAGTAAGGATCATTAAGGAAGACCAATGTCCAATAGTAAAATTATCAACTAAACCCAGACGGTTCAGCAGACACTTGGTTTCATTGTTTATATGTGAGTATATGATTCTTGAGCAAAATGTATTCTAGTGTGTGGGTCATTTGGAGCTATTGTTTGGTGCCATTTTCATTTTTACTCCTTAGTTCACATTTGGTGTGTTTAATGTGTTCAGCGAGCACAGATAATATGGATGAAGTTACAGGAATTTTAGGCTCTCTCCAGTTAGTAAACTTTTTTTTTCTTCTTTTTTTTGGGTTTTTTTCGAGACAGGGTTTCTCTGTGTAGCTTTTGGATCTCACTTTGTAGACCAGGCTGGACTCACAATGATCCGCCTGGCTCTGCCTCCCGAGTGCTGGGATTAAAGGCATGCGCCACCTCTGCCCGGCTAGTAAACTTTCTTTGAAAGTGTTATGGACAATTTAAGGCTATCACAATGTCAGTATAGATGCAAAGCGAGATGGTTTTATTGTTAAAATGCCTAAAAGTGTCACATTGACCCTGGCTGCCATACTATTGTCTTGGCAAAAGTGAGTCAATAATATAAGTGTGGATCTGAAATGATGGTTGTTTTAGGCTCTTTAACAGTGAGACCAGAATTCCTACACATGCAAGCAAGCCATGGCCTCTGCATCATAGAAATTTGGTTAGTTTTGAAGAATGGATTGAGTTGGTATAGTGTAAGATTTGATTTTAACCAAACAATTTACACTGCAAATATGTATGTAATCTCTTTATACTTTGCCTTAAAAAAATGTTGATCTATAAAAGTATGAGCCACAGGCACTAACACATTTTAAGTGTCAGTGAATGCTACCTTTTACTCAAAAGAACAAGTTTCATTTTTACTAATAATGTGGAGCACACTCACACACATGAGGAACAGGCTACCACCTGCAAGTGATTCTGCTTCTGAGTTCAAACTTTGGATCTTTATTATCCTCCATTTTAATGCAAAACTGCTTTCCTGCCTATTGTAAACGTACTTTAAAAAGTGTTGCAGGTAAATTTGGACCACTGTTGGTTTAACAAGTTACAAATAGCTGGTAGCAGGCAGTTTGCTCACCTGCCCATGACTCCACTCCAGGCACACCTTGAGACTTTCCTCTGTGAGAGTAAAGGGTGATACTGACTGCACACTTCCACCATATGGGTTAGGACATCTGATGTGGATTACACTAGCATCATTCACAATTACATATGTGAGTGATTTGGGTTTTTTTAGGCATGCTCTATTATTGTATTTTTACTTATTTAACCTTAAATTAAGCTTTCCTAGGTGGAGAGGAACACATTTTAAAATAAAAAAATACCATCCACAGCCCTGAATTTCCTGAGTATTCTGTTACAAATGACAGGGAAGAGGGAATTTAGTGAAACCCTGAGCAGCCCCAGGAATGTATCTAGTGTATGGGAACCATTCTCCTTGTGCTGTGCAAGGACAGAGGTGAGAACCATGAGTTTGGAGTTGCGTGTCACTGTCTAATGTGATTGTGACTGGTTCTTAGGGACCTTTGAGTCCATAGTGTGATAACAGCAGAACTGAGAGGCACCCCAGTCCGGTAGAATCATGAATGCTGAACTACCACAGTTAATGCTGTTAAAAGAGCCCATGCTGTCTTTTCCTGTTAACTAGATTGTGGCAATAGTATGTTGCATTCCTAGTCCTTGGGCTGAGTAACAGATGTAGTTCGCTGTCTACAGCTCTGAGAACTTAGGGTGAAAGTGCTGGCAGGAATCAGCATGGAGTCCATGAGTGAGTGAGCATGTTAGTTAGTTCAGTCACTTGTGATATCTTCTGCAGATTTTACCATAGCGAAGTGCCATTTATATCATTTCTCTAAGCTTTCTCCATTTGAACCTTTTTACAGAGGTTTATATTATCTCTGTAATGGGAAGCCAGCACAGTGTCACTTGCCCTAAATAGAGGACAGTTCTAAACATAAATAAAAATCTTATAAAAACACCTGACTTCTGTGCAGATTTTGCTGCCTGCTCACCCTGAGCTCTGGGGTCATCATGAGAAGCAATAAGCTAGCATTTGAGAAACTGAAGACATGTGTGCCTCACCAAACTTCATTCATGATGTTATCAGTATGAAGAAAAAAAGAAAAGAAAAATTGGAAAAGGAATATATTTTCTATGGTGCCATTCCACACTCGGTGTGAGAGAGCATCAGGTCTCAGGAAACCCTGCTCTTTATAAATAATTGATTGAGTTGGTGCCCACATAGTCACACAACTAGTCACTGCTGACTATTGTCTTTTCAAGGCAAGGAAGATGACGTATGTCTGTGAAAATGAAATCATATAAAAATGTAACATAGGAGTGTATTCCTTCCACATATGTGGAGTACACTGTAGTGTCATGAACATCATTAGTGTGGGTTGAATTTATGTGTGTGTGTACTTTATGAATGTGTTCATGTGTGTGCACGTGTGTGTGCAGGTATGGTGGATGCCAGAGCTTGATGTCAAGTGTCTCAGCTACACGCTACCTTATTTTTTGAGAAAGTGTTTCTCGCTGAACCTGGAGCTCATCCATTTGGTTGGGCTAGGTGGCCGGTGCACTTCAGGGATCCTCCTGCCTCTGCTTCCCCATGGCTGGGATTGCAAGTCTGTGATTCTGTGCCTTTCACGTGGGTGCTGGAGATCCACGTTCAGGTGCTCATGCTAATGAGCAAGCCCTTCACCCACTGAGCGTCCAAGTCAAACTCCTCAGTATGAAGTGCTGTCAGCCAGGAGCATGGCCGGATGTGGCTGGAGTAACCCTGATGTTCCCTCCCTCCCTCCCTCCCTTCCTCCCTCCCTCCCTCCCTTCCTCCCTCCCTTCCTCAGCTTTTCACTTAGACAGAATATGACACCCAGGCGCTGAGTTGATGTATGAGGGCTCTCAGTCTGCACTATCAATAGAAACTGTCACTTCACGATTGCTGGGCTCTTAGATAGGTGACTTTAAATGACTGTGATCTATTTTTGTACTTGTCCTTTGTTCATAAAAGTCAGCTCTGAATAAAGCAGTCTGTGTTTCACCTGAATATTCCAGAGTCACAGATCATGTTCTGGCTGGCTTCCTATGGACACCCTTTCTGGTTAGTTATTGGCACATGCTGTGTAAAAAGACTTTCTATGATAGCCAAAGTAGCCACATGTTTACCTTATTGTATCACATGGCAACCTTCTTAGGACATAGGAGCTCAGCAGATTTTTGTCCAAATGCCTGTGCTAGTGGCCTATACAATGCAACTTGGCACATAGTTGTGTGCCTTTCTGTATTTCTGTGGGAATTTTGAGTATATTGTTTATATCTCTCAACTAGCTGGTAAGCATCTTGAGTAGACATTTACACACACACACACACACACACACACACACACACACACACACACGTATGCGCGCACACACTCCTTTGAGGTCAGACATTCGAAATGATTTGTTGAGTAACCAATGCAGGCCCATTGCTACAAAGTTCCTTGTTTCTCTTCACATCTAATCTGAAATCCAAACTCAGAAACACTCCAAAACCAGAAGCTTTGCATGCTGATGCGAATGATTCTCACCTGATGTCATATGCTGAATTCCAGTCAGTGAAGACACTGTGTGAAATCATGGCCAGGTTGTGTGTGTTAGGTGTGTATGAACTATTATGTATTTAAATGTATATGAACTGTAAATGAAATTTGGGTTCAGACTTTACTCCCATTCTCAAGATAGCTCATCATGTGTGTACTAATATGTCCAAATATGAAGCAGTCTAAACTTCAAAGCATTTCTCTTTCTAAATACGTCAGAGAAAAGCTCCTCAACAGAATTTTGCTTTTAGGTTTGGCACTGGGGTTGTAGAAGGAAGGGCAAACTCACTTTACCAGTGATGACTTGCTTTCTAGTTCTTCATGCCAAGGAGACACTGAGCAAGGTATGCCAGATCCCAGGAGGATGCTGCCTATAGATGAGGATATTTTTCATCATTTTTCTATATTTTATTTTTAATTATGTGTATGTGTGCATGTTTGTGTGTGGGTATGCAGTGCATGAATTTAGGTGTCAACAGAGGCCAGAGGCATCAAATTCACTGGATCTAGAGTTACAGGTGGCTATGACCTGCCTGATATGGGTTCTCAGAAATGAACTTAAATCCTCTGCAAGAATATCGAGAGCCCTTAATCACTGAGCCACCTCTCCAGCCTCCATTTCTGTATTTGAATTCAATAATCAGGGAGCGATAATCTTGTGGAGGACTCAGGGATGCCTTGCTTTTTCATCCCTCTTGCCTGCAGGTAATTTTTCAGTATGCTGTTGACTGTGTCAGGCTGACACTAGACAAACTGACTACTGCTGGTCTCTTCTGCCCGGGAAGCAGTTTTGTACCCATAGCTTGCAGTATGGTAGCTGGGGTTTTTAAACTGCCCGTGCTGATGCTGATCTAGGTATTGAATGTGGCAGAAGCCTACCCAGGGTATGTATGTGCAAACGTGTCCTATACATATGCATACGCACCAACAAGGGGGGGGGGAGGAAGAGGGAGGGAAGAAGGAAGGAAGAAGGAAACAAGAAAGGCTGGGAAGGAAGAGGTTTATTTGGCTCCTAGTTTGGAGTTTCAGAGGCATGGCACTGGCAATGGCCCAGGCTGGAGGCAGCGTTGTTGCTGGCAGATGTGAGACAGTACATGGCCTCACACAGCAAAAACTAACTATGCACATCCGGGTCTGTTTTCCTTTTCTGACTAAGACATCAGAGTTCATTTGTGGGGACTCTACTGTGTCTCAATGTAGTCACGTTCCCAAGGACCAGCCTGGCCTGGAACGTGCCCAGGCATGTTGTTCATATCCACATAGTACAATCACATGATGGATGACCGGGGTTGAATACCCTATGTTTTTAGGAAGTAAATCAAGATCAAACAACAGCACATGTCATTCTCTGAGGCTGACACTTCAGCAGTCATCTTGGCTGTGGCTCTCCACAGACAGCTACCACATGTTGTAGGTCCCCTGCAAAGCATGTATGACCTCACCACCTGCAGTTTACTCCACTTCAGATGAAGACACTAGGGCTGAGAAGGGTGCCTTGCCTGAAAGCGTGCTGCTGGTACCCTGAAGAGAAAACCCACTCCATCCAGGCCTCTGCCTGCAGCTCCAGGCCTCCTATGGAAAGGTCTTCCTCACTGTCCATGTGACTCCTGGCTTCCTCTCCTGCTGAGCACTGGCTGTACCTTTCATGGCACTGCCCAGCCAAGCTAGAAATGACTGATGGTGTCCTTTGTGAAACTGTCCTTGTACTTGGAGGCTGCCAGTCAAGTGTGCCTTCCATCATGCCAGAGCTGTGTCCCATGCCTAGTGAAGGCCTACATAGTCATTACGGTCCCCACAGCAACCTCCACATCCCCACCCCATTCCTTATAGAGCAGTATTTCCCCTTCTTCAGAAGGCCCTGCCTCCTCTACTGTTACTTTGTCTTCCTGTCTCAGAGTTTCCTGGCAGGAAGAATTCAGAAAAATAACAGGTTGATACTTTATCCTGGTTTACTATTAGACTAGAGTGTTACCTTTCTGTTGTTCTGCTTTTAGTAATGAAAACTATAAAGACTTACACTTAAAATATTTTAATTTTGTTACAGCTAAACTTTAACAAGAAATAATGTATATATAATATTGTGCTATACAAAGTAAATTGGTAACATATTATGGATAGCTGTCCTTATATATTCATCCTCTCTTCCTCTAAATGTGTGTGTGTGTGTGTGTGTGTGTGGTGTTGTCTAATATTTGTGTGTTTGCATGTGTGTGGTGGTGGTGTGTGTGTGTGTGTGTGTGGCATATATAGTGTATTTCTGTGTATGTGTGCTGTGTGTGTATGGTATTTGTGTGTGTGTTGTGTGGTGTGTGTTTGTGATATGTGTGCACATACATGCATACTTGAAATTAGCTCAGAGCTGATTATTCATTGGTATTTTAGGGAAGCTTGTTTTGTAAAATGTTAGTAGTGAGAGGGCTATTAAGGAACAGCCAGGAAACCAATGGGAGAAGAAAGGGAAGAACTATGAATAATAAAGGGATATATTATTCTATCACCATATACACATATAAACATGTCATTGTGATCTGACATTTTGTGCAATTAATGTGGATTTATTGAAAAAGTAAAAAAAAAAAAAAGGACGCATTTGTCAATGCTTAAGGAGTGCAGTATTGACAGGGAACGACTCTGGAAAACGTGTTAAGAGAAAGTGACTCAGAACCAGATAGTGATGAGCCTGAGAGGGCCATATCGCCAACCACTGAATAAAGAATCTGTTTATTTGGATCTTAAAATTGTTTTGTCTGCCTAAGGGAAGTCACTCACTCTTCCGTGTCGAGGGTTGAGGAGGCTGAGTGACGGCCCAGCAGACGATGAACCGCGGCTCGCAGACGAGAGTTAGCTGAAGTTGTCCGGGAAATCCATTGTTTGCCAGTGTTGCAGACTCATTCCCTGCACACCAGTCTTGCTTTGAAGTTTTCTTTCCTTCCTAAAGCCAACTCATGCCACAGGATAGTATCCTTGCTAGAACCACACCCCAACCAAAAGTCCTAAACTCCCCACCATGTAACAGCAGCAGGAACCTGAGAGATTTCTGGCAGAGTGGGGATTTAGAATCGCCTTATTCTGTGTGTCAGTGTTGAGAAGTAACAGATCACGTAGAAATATGTAATACTTTTAACATAAAATTCAAACGGAATAGAATTCAGGATATGGGAAGAATGTTTGCAGATCAATAAAGGAACAGTATAAGCAATTATCCAGCAGCAATAACAAAAACACCCAATAATTTTACCAACAGTCAACAACTACAAAGTAGAAAAAAAATACAGATTGGCACCGTTAGAATTTGATAGTAAGTAGTATTGATCCAGCTATGGGAAAATGCTTTCTCCCCTAGTCAGAGTGTGAAATAATTCAGGCACTTTAGAAGGTGTTTGTTTCAATGAGAAATGAATGTGTCTTTGGCCTTGGTAAATCTTGGCTCCTCAGTGAGATATGCTCTACAGCCTTGCTGACGGTCATGAGAAATGGCTGGCAACTGAGGTCCTGGCCAAGCGGAAGTTGCTAAGCAAAACACAAGGTACACAGGCAAACCATAGCCTCTTCCAGGGTCCTAAGGAATGAGCCGGAACTGGTCCATCCACGATACACAGAAAAACAATACCCCCCCCCCCTTTCTGTGACAATAATGCATCACCATTCCACTGACAAGGAGATGCCTCGAGGGGAAAGAAAGAGGAAAATGAAAGAGAAGGGAGGTTCTATATCTAAATTCTTTTTGTGGTTTTACCTTTCAAACTCTGTTAGAAGTGGCCAACAATGAGTAGTATTCTTCCTACCTGAATGAGCCCTTGTTGCGTGTGGTGTGCTCGGAAGCTTGCCAGTTCTCTTCCAATTCACTGCATTCACTTCTTACAGTGCGACTCATAACCTATTACACTGATGTTAGGACTCAAAGACAATTTAAAAGCTGCTGTTCCGAGTTACTTGTGCACGTGTGTAAAATGGATGGGCGTAGGGGATAGGAAGGCACCTCGCTAATGTCAGCAGTCATTTCTAATGAGTGGTCCTCAGAAGAGGTGGTCCCAGAGCCTTGAGCCTCATCTGTAATACATTTTTTTTTTTTTTTTTTTGGTTTTTCGAGACAGGGTTTCTCCGTGTAGCTTTGCGCCTTTTCCTGGAACTCACTTGGTAGCCCAGGCTGGCCTCGAACTCACAGAGATCCGCCTGGCTCTGCCTCCCGAGTGCTGGGATTAAAGGCGTGCGCCACCACCGCCCGGCTTGTAATACATTTTTGTGTGCTTGATTTACAAGGGACTTTTGAAACTAAATATTTGAAATTTTGTTTTAAGAGTAAGCAATCAAAGCTATTTTTGAAAGTCCAGAGTTTTCTAGAACTGAGGAATACTGTCAGATGGACTCAAACGAAGGTTTTTTTGTTTTGTTTTGTTTTGTTTTAAGTGAAAGTGCATAGCTGTGTGTTTAACAACAGGCATTCTAGCTAATTCTTTGTTTTTGTGTTTAGGGCCACAGATGAGCACATGTTTGTGGAAAGGTACAGTCAAGCCTGTGTGGTACCCATTCAGAATGCTGTCACAAACCTAAAAGTGCTCAGCCATGCTGAGAGACTTTAGCTTGTTATCTACAAATGCTGTATCTGCAAATCCGAACAGACTAGCCAGCATGAAATGACACAACCCCAAGTCCTCCGGGTTTCACTTGCCAGCATGTCCTGTTTTTAGTGAGCTTGGGCAGAAGGTTGTCTTTCCGGAGGTCTTTGGTGGGGAGCACAGGGAGAGGTTGGGGCTACTATGGGGAGCAGCCAGCATCACCGCTCTGGTCTTAGCTACAGTTAGTTAATTCTTGTGATTTACACGCTCATTTTTATTTTTGCCCTGAGGGTAATTTATTAAATCACAACTTAATGATCCAATAATTGATGCTTATGAGGAGTTTTCAAGAAAGACAGACCCTTTACATCTGAATAAGAAATTGGCATCAGATGACACAGAGCTGGGTTATTTCTTGTTCTTATTTTCAAACACGTAAATAGAGATATTCATAAAGAGAATCTTCATATTTTATTTTCCTCTTTGTTTTGTATCTTAAATGGATAATTTTATGTTTTTAAACAACCACATTAAATTCTCTTTAATGTTTTTGAGAACAAAGTATTAATGGCAAGACACACAACCTTCTTCTGAAAGCCCACATGTAAGAATCGTCTTTAAATTCGTAGTTATTGCTGAAGCAATTACTATAACAAATTTAATTTCTTAAATGTTTAAAATGGTATGGAAGAAAGAGAAGGGAGTCTTGGAAACTTAACTTTAATGAGAGAAAACTGGTAAATGAGTATTATCGCAGAAAACAAGGTATAGATGGGGGGCAAAGGGAAGAGGGGGTGCTATGCTATTGGGGTCTTCCATGTTCTCCATTGCAATCTGTGGGTGAGAGGAGAGAGGTGCAGCTAACACAGGGAGCGAGGCCATTCCTATATTAGCTTTGGAGTTCTCAAGAATAGATGGCCGTGGTGAGGAATATGAAGCTGGGGCAGCAGCGCTTGTGCAGATTGACAGTAGTAGCCTGAATCTGTGACGGTGCTGTGGTTTTACGGTGAGAATTCAGGGCAAGTTAACCTTGTCCCCGGAGACCCAGAAGGAAGTCAAAGTGGACTTTAAGGTTTACAATATTTAAGGATTTGAACAGTACTTAATTCTACTGTGAAGTTTTTGCCGATTTGATATTTGTGTCTAGTAGTTTTGATAATATTAGATTTAAAGTATGTTGTGGAAGGTATGATAAATTTATTATTTAAACACAAATAAACAAAAAGTGCTCCTCAGAACTGCGTATCTGAGGCACAACTTCCTCCCAACGGCAGCGTCCTGCATTTGCAAACAAAATATCCTAGGGCCTCTGGTCTTTCAAATACTATGCAAGGAATATTTTTGTTTCTTGGATGCTTGAGAAGTGGAGGGAAAGAAGAGCTTATTTCATATTATAAAACACAGAAGTGTTACAGGTCTCATTGGTAAGATGAGATCCTGGTTGCTTTTTTCCCAGAATTTTCTTCCGTTTTCCACGAATACCACTTTTAAGTGAACTTGACTAACTGGAATTTATCACCCACAGCATCTGCAGGCATTGCTGTATCCCAGCGGAAAGTGCGGCAGATCAGTGACCCCATCCAGCAGATTCTCATCCAGCTGCACAAAGTCATCTATATCACACAGGTCGGTGTCCACAGTGCCTCGCCTCTCATCTCAGCCACAAGGCCAGAGCCAACCCTGCGGAGAAAATGCGGCCTTGTGGGACTTGGAGTTAGAGGGAACCCTTAACTCTTTCCTCCTCTCCAGCCACATGTATGTGTATGTGGGGACACTTTGGCCTAGCAGTAAATGTGCCCGTTTTCTCATGGCCTGTACTCTCGTTGTGCTTAAACAGACTTCCACACAAGTGGCTCTTTTGTGTGTGGGTGCAAAGAGGGGCAGGACTTGGTAGCTTTTTCTACAAGCAGCTTTATCATAGGAATGGGGAAATGGGATCTTTCTCCTTTCATCTGCTTTGACAACAGAACCTCTCAAGGACATGAAAGCCAGACCCCTGACGCCCATAAAACCCAGGACCATTAAGACTTTATGAATCTGAGTACTGAGTACTTAGTACTGAGAAGCTCAGGGCTGAAGATTAGCTATTGGTTGTGGACAAAACTGGGTGTTCCTTCACCTAAAGCATGGACCACTTACTAGTAATATCTTTTTTCTCTTTCTTTTCTTTATTTTTAAGAAACGATGTGTAGATATTTGGATAAGGAAATAAGTAATTTCCAGTTTGAGATAGCATCATCTGGCGATTCTGTTCATTCTTTCACTCACTTGTCTTACACCTATCAAGTGCCAAATACTAGTCTAGGCATCGGGTGGCATGGATGTCTTGTGGTTAATATTGATTTCCAACTAGATAAGCATTGGCATCAGCATGAAAGAAATGTCTGTGAGAGGCTCTTAGCTTGAGTTAACTGAAGTTGGAAGAATTACCTCAGACGTGGCTATCATGGGCTAGAACCTGGGCTGAATAAAACGGAGAAAGGTAGCTGAGTGTGAACATGTGTCCAGCTGTTCTGTTCCTGCCTCTGAACCTTCCCTGCCTGACAGGCTGTGTGCCCTGGAACTGTAAGCCAAAATAAGTTCTCCAAAAGTCCTCCCTCCCTCCCTCCCTTCTTCCCTCCCTCCCGTCAAGTTATCAGTAACTAACCCATGCCCTGGTTACCGGAAGGGCCTAAGAGCCACCGTGGGAGCTGTTGGAGCCAGCTGTGGAAGTCTATTTATACTTCTAGGGCCTGCGGAAAAATTCTGCAGGCACATGCACCTCCTGTGCTGCCTCCCATAAGAAAAATATGCACTCAGACTTCATCTATCATCACTGCCCCATCTTAAGAGACAAAACCAAAGATGTTGGTTTCTATAAGCTAGGAATAGTTTAAGACTGTAGGAATCACCGCTGATTTATAACCAGTGCCTAGGGTTTCTGAGAAGCCGGCATATTCTTTCCCCAGTAGATGGTCACTTTGATAAATGGCTGTACATTTTCCTGGGGATAGTGCAGAGAAAATGTATGGAGAGTTCCTGTTGCAATGTTTCAGGATCCCTTATCCAGGGACTCCAGCTTCCCTATTAGCCAGGGGACTTTGGCTGGGCCGAGTTGACTCGGTTATGAAAACCATAAGAGATAGACAACCTTCACTGAGGCAGTGGCAACTCAGGCCAGAACTTTGCCTACAAAACCTGGAGCTTCTTTTCTGCTACTACAACAAACAAAAATACTCAGTAGTGCACTCCTTTCTGGGAAGGCCTGATTAGTCACTCCACCAAAGCTTGCTGCAGCCAAGGTGCTCCATCCATCAGCACACGCTTACCTTTCTGTGTGGCAAATGCTGTCGCTGGTCACTGGGAATCTAGTTTTATCACTCTACCTGTGCCGTTAGATTTCACTGAACTCTTGTGTGCCTCAGGGTCACATGGCCAGCTAAGGAGATCAGCTTCATGGTTTGCATGGGTGCAGGGCCCCTGTTGCACTGGCCAGTGCTGTCCTGGAAGGAATACCTTCTGGAAGTTTATTCAACCTCAGCTGGGGAGGGCGTGCAGCCCACATGTCCACAAATAAGAAATCCAAATCACCCTACCATTCCCACTTCTCAGCACCTCAGAAAATTCTCTCTTCTGTAAGCTCTGCCTCACACCCCTCAAACAGAAGCTCTCAGTCAATCAGGCGATCATCTGCACCAACATCTGCATGAACAAGCCCATCAAATGCAGAATCGTGAGTGTGCGTACTCACACCTGTGGACGTAGCTGGATCCAGTGCTTTTTATCTCTCCCCGCATAACATCCACAGAATATACTTCCCACACAATTTGAGGTGCCACTGTTTGGTACTACAATCTTGTGAGTTTGGGGCATGTAAATCACTTCTTCTTGAGCCTTAGTGTGGATCAATGCCCATGACTGTAAGGAGAGCTGATGCTATGGATTTGACCTTCATCTCTGTAGGTCTTGTGAGGAATGTGCATACCTTTTTAAGATCTCTGCTCCCAGTGCGTTTCTCATCCAATTTTCAGGCAAGGGGAGGTTTGTTTCCTCAGGACAGAGCAACACGTTGTGCCCACTGACAATAAAAGCTGAACGTAGCTTGGTTTAAGATTCCTGGCTTCATCAGGGCTCACCAAGATGTCCCCATTTCATGTTTTGGGGTCCAATTCAGTGCCTTTAGGGCTAAGGCATTGTATTCAAGAAGATGTCAAATGTGGGAGTAGACACTTCGGCCCTGGGCCCAGTGAGATTTGCTGAGGTGCTGTGCCGGACAAACTTAAAGCCTGCCCTTGGAGCCAGGGCAGACCACCCGCCCTGAAGTCCCTGCTGAAGTCTGCTGGGAGTCATCACTCCAGGGTGGTGTTCGGAAAACACCCTCTGTGGGATCAGGAAGGCCACTGGGGCTTGTTGGTAGAAATATCTAAAATGCCACCTATCGATGGCATCACTGAATGTGACTGGGAGTATACCAACCCCCTGGAGTCCCAGCATGTACTGACTACTGTCTGCTGCTGAAGCTAAGCAAGAACAGAGGATCCTGGACACAGAAGGACAAGCTCCATCCTCCTCCAGGGTCTCTCAGCAGCTCTTGCTTATAGGACCTAGTATCTGGCCAGCTAGCCAGGGAGCAATGCCCCACTGACTAGCAGGACAGTCGTGATGGACTGACAGACACTGACCTCTACCTCCCTGGGGACAAGGCAGGCAAAGCCCCTCCCCCTCTGGTACTGTGCAGCCTCTGGGGTCTCCTTGCCTCCCTCATATCATTCCTTCCCCTACTTTGGGCATCTTGTGCTTGGAGATGAGTGCCTGTTTTGTCTGTCACTTTTGCCTCAATTCTAATGTTCTTTTCAGTCACGCTGTCAACTGCCCTTCTGGACCCAGGATTCTAAAACTGATCATTTTTCTCACTGTTTTCTGATGTCAGCTTGTGTCTTAGGTAATCACAAAGAACTCTTTAACTGATTAAATGGAAGAGTGTGGAGGAATACAAGGAAACATCTGGGAGAGAACTTGGTTAATTAATGGGAGTGTCACCTTCTAGATCAGACTGTAAACATAGCGTATTAAAGTGCATGTCCATTCATGCACTAGCATGAACGTTTGGGAAAATACTCTTTAGTGTTATAGGAAGCTCTGTAAATAGCTCTTTAGTTCCTCTAACTGTTAATCATTAAATTGAGAGAAATATCCTTTGAAATTTAATATAATTTCTGTTTCTAAATTCCTGTATGGTAAATAAACTCTTTAATGGATGTATACCCCCTTCTTTGTTGGATTTCCATGCATTTTAAAGCAAGGGTAGAACTCTTATGAATGCATCATTATCCCTTTAAACTGCTAGTGTGCTGGATGATTTTGTCCTTTTCGGCTGGTGGCAGGCATCCATTCCAAGCTGCCAGTCCAGGCATAGCAACTGTGATTCTTCCAAATGAGCTCTTAAAATACTTTCAACTTCATGTTATCAACATGAAAGGAAAGATTTCCCCTCTGGAACTTTAACTTACAGTGCTCAACACAGCCAGTGCCATTCACAGGAAGGAGAGGCACACAGCTGGGACATAATGTTGGTGCATTTGCTGCACAGAAGACTAGGCTGTGCAAAGGAAGCTTGTTGTAAGTAAGACTGACCTGAGAAATGGGTCAGCCTGCTGCCTTCTGTCCTCCTGAGGACCGGAGTGGGGACTGACAGAAAACCTAGCTTCTGGTTGGTGGGGATCATTCCCATCCAGTTTCCATGGAGACCTATCATCTAATGGCAACAGTTCTACAAGTCAGGAGGTTAAAGTCCTTCTTCTTACCTCAATTGCACATCTGTTTTCATCAAGCTGAGTTAGAAGTCTTGAGACCAGCATGCTAAGAAGGCGAGTGGCTTGTCTTAGACGCTGGGGACCAGTGTGTCTGTGAGCAGATGGTGATTGATGCTCGGATATTACCTTTTAGTTACTGCATAGGTAAGGCCTGAATAGTTGAAGGAATGAAACTAGCTTTAATCATTTTGTTAAATAAATGCTTTGAAGTCATCATATAACAACTTGAAAAATTACAACGTATCTGCCTCCAGCAGAAGAGATAAGAAGTTAATGCCCACAGTATTGCCCATCATGGGGGTGTTGTCCGCAGCAGATATTGTCCCCTGGCTCTCAGTGAGCCGTACTGTGTTGTGCAGCAGCAGTAAAGTACAGAACTGTCTGTTCAGTCACCGAGTCCCCTGGGTGCTCATGGCTAGGGTGACAGAGAGTCAACAGAATATGATAGTCACAGCATGGCTGGATTTCTCATATCAACTGTTTTTAGGGACTCTAAATTCTTAGAGAAGTGTTTGATTTTATTTCTTTAAATGGTAATCTTACAACATTTGATTTTAACATTTAGGGAAAAATTCTTAAGCTGTAAAATGTCAAAATAGATTAAAGTACTATTTTGGTCTACTAGTTATCCAATGGAGCCCTACAAATTGCTGGGACCTTTGCTAATGTTTTCCTGGGTAGAGAATCCAGGTTTTTGGAAAGACTCCATATAGATGCAAGTTTAAGAAAACATACAGACTGAATTCCCCCCTCCTTTTATTACTTTATATGGTACAGTAAAACCTTTTAGATATGTGTATTGAAGAAAATATTATCTTTTCTAGAGTCGTTTTCTTCATCAGGAATGTGGGCTCTTATGGGCTGTGTATGCCTTGGGTGTAATAAAGGACATGGGAATGTTTATAAGCTGTGAGGTGTTGTGTGGCAGAGGGGTGCTAGTAGTATTGACTCAGGTTTAAGGCTGATGCAGAAGGCCTACAGCTCAGAAGCAAGGTGTGTGACACATTCTTTCCTCACCTAGAAAAAGAACCTGCTGTGTAAGTTTACTGTGGGGGAAATGCAAGAATTCGAGCATAAAGGAGTGATCACAGATCACCGTGCCTAGCACTGTGGATTTTGATTCTGTTTTTATAAAGATAATATTATTATACTCACTTCATTTACAGTTGAGCCCTCATCATTCAGTGTAAAATTTTAAGTTCTCATGGAAAGCCTTATGGATGGGACACTGTGCAATGATACTTATCCCAGTGAGACACAGTAGCTTGCTTACACTGTCTATGTGCGGATCTTAAGTCGGCTGGATGTGAGCATACTCAAATGAGCTGTTAAACACTGAATTCAGGGGTAACGAATGAACCTCCAGGTTAACTAGAAGCTTATCAAGTTAAATAAATAGCAAGACTTTCCAGGATCTCTGAACTAGTCTGACAGTTAATCTGATACCTCCCAGCCTTAGGCTGAACCCACTTGAAGAGGCCCGCTGGTGATCCTCACCTTCCAAACGTCACTATAGCAAGCTGCATTTGTAGTCTTTCTTTTGCAGGGACTTGAAGCAATCAAACTGGAAGGTTGCTGGTTGGACCTAGCTCACCACTGCCCTCTGCTGTTTGGTTTAGGGAGGTGGCACCTTCAGCTATGAAGCAATAGAGAATTACCAAGTCCTGTCTCTCCAGGATGAGCCTTCACCCGCTCGCTGCTCCATCCTGCCCCTTGCTAGGAGACTAATGCTAAAAACTCTCTCCTTCACCTTACATGTTTCCCCTTTAGTCCATGTGAAGGGCAATAATGACTGATGTTTGAGGATTTTGCATTACCCTACCCTCCTGGTGGCACACATCAGTTTTATTGGCCCCAAATAGTCACATGGTATCCAGCCAAACTGGAGAATCCCAGGCAGTGAAGCAGGGCTGGGACGGGATCACTGCAGTTTTTCTGCCTCTTTTGGTCAGTGTTTGCTTCGAGTTTATAATTTTCTGTTTCTTATTAATTGTGACTACTCAGTTCATCTCCCTACAGAGTTGTTTCTCCTCAGGTCTTCTTTTGATATCTAGCCATAGTAAAAAAAAAAAAAAAAAAAAAAAAAAAAAAAAAAAAAAAAAAAAAAAAAAAAAAGTTCATCAGCACTTATAATTCTGATCTTGCTTCTTTTGTGTTACTCTTCTCCCAGACTTCACCTCACCCCTGGGTCAAGGGAACTCAGATTCTCTGATTCCTCATGTAAATCCTGCCTGCAAAGCCCTGCAGTTCAGTGGTTGTTTTAAATCCCCTTCTAAGATTCTGCAGTGACTGCCTGTGTATTTATGAAATCCACATCCTCCTAGTCAGGCCATAGTGCATGTTAATCCACCTGTCTTCCTTCCCAGTAATACTGTTCCCTAGGATTTGGTTTCTCTCCAGCTGAAGAACTCAGGCAAGTTTTTTGTGTTCTTTGGTTCAAAGTATCAGATCCTTCTCAGGGCTGTGGCTGGGGTGCATGGAGTGGTTCTGGCATGCCATAGACACCTAAACACGAACAGAATAGATCTTCCTTGTCAAGGCTGTTCTTCACAAAATGAAACATATGTGGGCAGAGATGTTACATGAAAGAGTTGTGTCAGTAAGTGTGACCATGACAAGATAAATGGAAGCAGAGCCACACTTCTTTACAGAGGATAAAAACTGTAGCATATCATTTGCGAGTTCAGACTCTTCCTCAGCCTTGGTCAGTGTGTATTGTTGTGTTGTGTCAGTACTTCCTGTGGGGGTGGAGTGTGGTGAGGGTGGTTGTAATGAGTGTGTATTGTTGTGCTGCATCAGCACTTCCTGTGGGGGTGGAGTGTGGTGAGGGTGGTTGTAATGAGTGTGTATTGTTGTGTTGTGTCAGTACTTCCTGTGGGGGTGGAGTGTGGTGAGGGTGGTTGTAATGACCATCTTCTTGCTTTCTGCAGCTCCCTCCAGCTCTGCATCATGATCTGAAGAGAAGAGTTATAGAAAGATTCAAGAAATCCCTGTTCAGCCAGCAGAGCAACCCTTGTAACCTGAAATCTGAAATTAAGAAGGTATGTGTTCTACATATAGGGATCTGTCCACGGGAAAGCCCTGAGTGTTACGGTTCCCTTCTCCCAACTCCTTGAATTCTGTGCGCTGTTAAAAGGTGTTGCTTAAAATATCAGATGGGTCCATCCTACCTTTGATTTCTCATCTTTATTTCTGTGGCTATTATTTTCAGGTGACTAATACAGCTTGTTCTTTATTCCTACATGTTTTCCTAAAAATAAATGTTGTCTTTAATTTAAAAGCATGTATATTGTAGCCTGCTTTTGAAGAGTCTGTCACAGTATTTTGTGACAAGGCTCTTCAATGAGCCCCTAAATTGTGCGTTGCCAATCTGAAACGGTCACCTGACCAGGCAAGGCCACAATTTTAATTGACATAATGAACTTGTCCAGGTCCTTCCATCTTCAACATTCTGCCACCTTCTCATCTTTGGGTACAGCAACAGTTTCGGTTCACACATACCAAAGCTAAGTTTTTACAACAAATGGGAAAAGAGTTGCTTACCTCTGGCAACACAAGTTGGAGACAGGAAATCCACTTTGTTTGGGAAGAGATAAAAGCCCTCTGTCCTGTCTGTGAAGAACCCGGGCATAGGAAAGTCTAGCTACCTTGATGGAGATAATTTGGTCCATGCCCCCCACTTTCCTCTCCTCCTCCTCTTCCCCTTCTTCTTAAGTGTCCTTATATGTTTAAACCTTGGTTGTGGCCTATGAACTCTTCCACAGCGGTTTCTTTTTCATTAGTCAGTCTACTTTTAGGCACAAACTTCCTTCCAGGCTCTTGAAACACACACACACACACACACACACACACACACACACACACACACACACTCATTTTTTAAAAGGCAAGTGGCCTGTTTCTGCTTTTTTGGCTCATGGCGGTGCCGGAACCATTGATACAGGCACCCAGAAGTGGTTGCAGGCAGGTAAACAAAGCGTGAACCCATCCCACAGAGACAGGAGAGCAAGGCACCCTCCCTGTGTCCTGCTGGCCAACAGCAGAGACAGGGAAGATGAGCAGTGGTGTGAGGGCCTCACATTTACCTCCAGCATCCTAAATACTAAGAACTAGAGTTGTAAATGCCAGAAGCTCGTCTCCTACAAAAGATTACACGATGCTTGATTTTATATTCTTATTAAAGTGATACTGAGAATAACCCAATTTGCATACAAATTCATTGTAGCAGAAAGTCTGGTTTTAAGGGATGAAAGCTTCCACCTCAGAAGGATGTTCAGAGGTGCATTCACCTCCCACCCAGTGGTTTTGAGCTTGTGCCTGGCCTGAAGGCAAGTCCTTGTTGTCTTTCTCATGAGGGGCTCCCGCTGTTTCTTCCCTGACATTTTCTTTTGTTAAATCACTCTCCTGCCATCCTTGGTTCCCTCTCTGTGGTCTGAGAGCATCTCTGGTCACTATCCTGGTCTGAGCCTAAAGGTGGGATTGTTGGGGGTAGTGGAGGAGTTTGGGGGGTCTCCAGTGAGAGTGCTACTGAGCCGGGCTGACAGCCTCAACCCTCAACAAGCCAACAAGGAGCCAAATTAAGAGTGAAAAGCAGGTAAAGGAGACTTACTCAGTGTGGCCACATAGAGAAGAGGGACAAAGGGACCCAGTGACCCTCTGAGGGCCCAAGTGGCCTTCAGGGACCTATGGGGAAGGCGAGAGGTGTGCATCAGTGCCTGGCTGGAAGCTTTCTTTCAGGGTGGTCTGAGAAGTTGTCTGAACCATGGGCTCTGTTTCCAGGAGACAAGCTCCCCTCTGGCACCAAATTCCAGCCTTCCCTTCTCCCAGCATGAGAGTCCTGGGAAAGCTCTTAGTCCCTTGTTTCCCAACCTGATAGACAAAGGTAGACTTTGCATTTTTACAATACCCTCAGGCTTGCCAAGCTCATTTCTAGGGCCTGGGGACAGAGTTGTCTTTATTTTCAGCAGGTTTAGGAGGCAGGTCACACTGTCTAGTGACTGGTGCCGCTGGCTCTTTTCTGATAAACTGGTGTCAGCTTGTAACACACTCAGTGGAGCCCTGTGCCTCAGGGAAGAGGACACTCAGCAGTTAGGGTTCCGCTGTAGTCAGCAGAGGTGAGGTCCTGCTCTTCCACGGGAAGCCTGGCCACGTAGTGGAGTGAGCCTGTACTCCACTGATAGGCACCAGTCAGCTCCTCCACAGAAGGCCTGCTGAGGCTTCCCTGTGCATGGCCAGCTCACCTCTTCACTCCCATGTTTAAACAGCTTTCATCTGCTGTGTGTCTCACGAGTGCAGTCAGTCTCTTATTTTTGATTTCCCAACATCTTGCACATCCTAGACTGTGGTCAGTGCTTCATATATAATTAATGAGAGTAGCATATACTATGTACTCACGTATTTCATAAGGAAGTCTTCATTTCTTCAGTTCTTTATTAAACTGTGTGTTGGTATGATCTACTCATGCACTTTTATGTATGCGGAAAGATCTACACCAGAGAAGTTCATGACCCCCATGCACCTCCCCCCCTTTCTGGTAGTCTTTTTCTTGCAATGACATTTGTTCAGAAATGGGCATTTCATCCCCTGTGCAATCAACGGAAGTCAATTAGACTCTGACTGTCAGACACTCTCACATCTACCCACCCCCAGGTACTTGGCTTTTACCTTCTCCTTCCTTCCAAGACCCTGGGAGCCTTTGCCTACAGTGTGAAAGAGCCATTATGGAATGGCTGCAGCCACGTATCAATGGCACCTATCACTTATCAATGGCCAATGTGGTATGTGCAGAAGTCAAAAGGTGGGAAATCCCATTTCTGAGAACTGAGTTCTTTCTCTCCAACTCACCTAAGCAGCTCTTTGATCCAGGCTTTTCCATCTTGGCTGGAATAGTTCAGGGGCACCAAAACCAAGCGAGTGATAGCACAGTGCCATGGAACTGGGATTTTTAACACGGGAAAAGAGAGAAGCAAGATAGAAAAGATGAGTTCATGTCAATATTTACACAGCACTGTCAGTAAGCATAAATTCATGACAAGTCTTCTCTTTTAAAAACATACTCACTAAAATACTCTAGAAACTAATGCATAATTAAGCACAATTCAGTTCATCTCCACATGTTTCTGAGGAGACACAGTTGATTGGCGCAGAGCAGGGATCTATCTCACAAGCTTGGAATGTGCTCTTTTGAGGTATAGCACATGGCACTGCCAGGGACTCCTGATGATGTGTCCAAAGGACTGGGAGCCGTGCTGAAGCTGTTCCTAAGAATTGTATTCTGCCACACTGCCACAGTGTGACAGCAGCATTAAGTTCAGGAGTTAATAATGGTACTAAAGGAAAAAGATCACTTATTGGTTACTCTTGGGGCATTCAAAGTAACCCATTCATTGTTTTAACACTTGTTTTTGAAGGGTATCAATCCTTTTCCTTTCTGTTTTAAATTCTGTCTCAGGGTAAACTAATTGTGGATGAAGCGATGTTTCATGTTATAGATGAACTTCAGCTGGCACTTGGGTTTATAGTCCCAGGGCGAGGAGGGATGGAGATGCCACTGAGAGGGGGCACCTGACAGCACATGCCACCCAATGCAGGGCACAGTCCTTTCTGCCAAAAGCTTGCAGCTGCATCTGATCAAGCTTCTAAATGTGAAAGTCAGCGAACTCTAACCCTCAAGCCAATCTGGCCTGCTGCCTACTTGTATAAATAAAGCTTTATTTACATAACCATATGCATTCATTTCCATCTGGCCTGTGGCTACTTTATCATTACAGGCAAAGCTGTAAAGTCAGAAACCCTACTTCCTCCAGGCAGGAAATGTTTACTGCACAACTCCATAGAGCAGTTTGCCAGTCCCTGCTCTGGATCTTGCAGCAAACACAGATAAGGGCACATAATAAACAACACAGTTACCAGGGCCTGAGGTCTTGTAACCTACCACTGTTACCAAAACAAATCAGGAGAAAGAATGATGGAGGAGACAGTTTTATAAGAATCCAGGCTTGAGAAAAAATGAGATAGAGACTACGTGCCCATTTTTCTCCTCTCTCTCTCTCTCTCTCTCTCTCTCTCTCTCTCTCTCTCTCTCTCTCTCTCTCTCTCCCTTCCTCCCCCTCCCTCTCTTCTTTCTTTTTATTCTTCTCTCATACATTCCATCCTGACCAATTGCAGTCTCCTCCCTCCACACTTCTCAGTCTCCACCATTTCCCCTCTTCCCCAGATCCTCTGGTTCCCAGTAATATCAACCGAACAGGGCATAAAAAATTACAATGAGACTGGGCACAAACCCTCATATCAAGGCTAGACAAGGCAACCCAGTAGGAGGAAAGGGTCCCAAGTGCAGGCAAAAGAATCAGAGAAAATTCCGACTTCCACTGTGAGGAGTCTCACAAGAACACCAAACTACACAACTGTAACATATATGCAGACACCCTAACTTGGACCCATACAGGGTCTGTGATTGCCACTTCAGTCCCCGTGAGCTCCTATAAGCCCTGATTAGTTGATTCTGTGGGCCATTGTGTCCTTGACCCTTCTGCCTCCCTGGGAAGGGGAAATAGAATAGATTTCCCATTTTTCAAAGGGATGAGGCTCAGGGGTAGTACGGGACAGTAGGTGGAACATTTCCATACTTACTGCTCTTTGTTCTCCCATGGATGTTCCTTTAAGGGCTGAGGCTTCATCTTACTTTTCTCAGAAAAGTGTATGTGTGTGTTTTCAGAGCTGATCATTTGACATTGGATAGCCAATCATGTTCTCTTCCCCGGTAAGACTATTTCCCCTGCCTCCCAGCATTCCTCAGCTGCCTGTAGTTCTTTGTCCAGGGCTGAGGCCTCCTGAGCTTTCCCCTTTTCATGTTAGTGTGTCTGTTGGTGCCATCCTCGTTCAGCTCATGTCTAGTCAGCCTTGATGGTTAGACTTCATGACACTGTTGTGCTCGCATTGCAAGACCCCCAAGCAAGACCACCACAGAGCCAATATCCAATGCAAGCACACAGAGGTTTTTAATAACAAAGCAAGCCCGGGCCTTGGTCTGTATTCCCTA